AACAATAAAAATCCACCAAAACCGCCCAACGTTCGAAGAGACCCCGAGAGGGGTCAGGCGAACACGAACGTTACACCTCAGTGAAGCAATGAAGAAAGGTCTTCGGAATGATGCTCGTTGCTGAAAGAACGACAAGGACAGTCTTTGCTTCTGGGATATTCCATTTCTTCTTTCATGATATGGGTCAGTTATTGTTTCTTCTGAATATTCGCCTGATGCACTGTAATAAGATTGCTAGTATCGACGACTGCCATAGTCAAAAATCATACTTTTTGCTTGATTTTATTCCAGAGTATTATGTTGGGTCTGTTGTGGTGCACTGTTTGATCTGTCAGTACACTTCGGTCCCAATAGAGTTTATAGCAGTTGTTTTCAAGCACCTTTTTTGGGATATACTTGAAATATGGAGGAGATAGTACACTACAGCCTAAGATAATATGCTGAATATTCTCGCTACAATGACCACCCAGGCCCAAACAGTATCAATGAGGCACATCTGGTTCTTTGATAAATGTATTTCAAGATCATTTCGGTGCAATTACTGTGTTTTGGATTGCAATCAAAAGTTCGGATATAATACTCACATACTGATCCATTTGTTACGCAAATCAGCGCACATTGGAATGCCTACTTCAGCTGTTGTCTACCAGGGTTGCCTCTTCCTTCCCCGGCGTAGCTTCCATCTCTGCGGTCAAAAATGCTTGCAGATGTTGGTTGAGGCATAACGGCGTATAGGGTCTTCAGCTTTCGCCCGGAAGTACTCCCTCATGCTTTCTTGCGAGTACATTGCTGATTTTAATGATGCCACGACCTCTTTATCTTTCTCAGGAGTGTGATCCTTTGGATTGAGCTTTTTGGATGGTGGAGTTGGAAGATGGTCATTTCAACTCTTATAAGCCTTTCCAAGGATTCAATATCCGTTTTCGACCATTTGAGTATCCCCAATGTAAATGTAATAATTGGTATTGCGTATATATTAATTGCTTCTGTAAGGTTTCGTGAGTTGAGAAAAAAATTTAATGAATTTTTCACTCTCTTAACAAATTCCAACTGTATTTTCACTTTAATTTCAGTGTGCGCAACCAATTTCTTTTGATGAATTCCGAGCTATCTGTAGAGCTTATCTGCTTCTAGGGTTGTTAAAGTCCCCCTTGATATGGCTTCGTGTTCTATTGCGATGATGAGTTTATCTCGACTGATGCTTTGGATGTTATACTTTTCTATACCAAATTGCATACCTATTTCTGGGGAGAATCTTTCATTGTCAATTTCACTGTCAATTTCAGTGACATGTATGAGTTGCTTAAGTCCCTGTAAGGTTCCTGAGTACAGCTTGATATCGTCTATGTATGCTAGACGACTTTCATTATATTTCCCTAGGCCTTTCAGATCATATCCTACTCCCATGCTTTTTAACGAAAGGGAGAGGGGATTCATGGAAAGGCAAAACCAGCAAGGACTGAGATTATTATCCTGAAGGATACCTCTGTAGATTCTTAGTGTCTTGGTGACAATTCTTCCGTTACTTGATGACATATGTATTGTTGTTTGCCAGTTATTCATCGCGCATATCAAAAATCTTACGATTACATAGGTAATACCATACATTTTAAAAACACACGTATCCAGCCACACGAAACCATGTAAAATGCCCTTTTATAGCCATTAAAAGTATGAATATCGCGCTTTTTGTCAGACGCCTAAGGCATATCTATCACAAGTAGCGCCTAGCTGCCCGACAAATCCCAGCAACAGCCTTTTTGGATCTGCGAGAGAATATTGTTTTGTTCGCAATGTTGTTCTATGACTGACTTTAAACAGCTAGTTATGATTTTATATAGTACATTGAGGCAAGTGCTAGGTCGAGGGTGGCCGGGGTCTGTGGCATCAGTTGTTTTTGGATTCATGAAGGTGATTCCCTCACACAAAATCGTTGGTAATTGCTCAGGATGATTCAGATAATGATTTATGAGTATCATAATCTTCCCATGTAGACAGGTCAATCTTTTAATGCAAAAATTATGAAGCCCATCTGAACCAGGGCATTTGCAATTTTGTAACTTCTTAACGACAGCTTATAGAACATCCATAGATAAATCTGCAACTTTCATATCTTTGATCTTATTTGATGTTTGACACTTCGCTCAGCCAGAAAGCATTGGATTGGAAATGACTCTGTTCACCATATTTCGACCCAGTGATTTTCTACTGCCGACTTCTCTGGCAACTTTCCTGTATAAACTTCTCTCCTCAGATTCTTCTAGAACATCTGATTTTTGGAAAAATCGTGATTGCCTTTTTCCTTCTAGTACTTCTGATATAACGTCGCAATCGTTGAGAATAGAGGCTGAGTTGTTATTTGAGAGTATTTATAACATCAGTAATATTTATATTTTCGTCGTTATACTGCACATGCTTATAATATTTCTTCATAATTTTCGGTCCCCTTCTCCTAATGCGCGCCTTTTGACTTCCTCTTTGAAAGGCTTCTAGAAGAGCAATGTTAGATCTGAATTTTTAATTATTTCCTTCAGCCGTCTCTTCCTAGGTGGTATGTATACTCTCTGCCATACGCTGGCTGGGTTTCGATAACTTTTTCACTACTTAACGATTGTCAGAGCTATACAATGGATGACTGTGTCAAGTTGTTCGTACGTTGTGATTTGTCTGACTTCATCGGCAGGTGTATAGTCATTTGTTAACTTAGTTAACTTATGATATTTGTTAACCTTAGTTAACTTATGATATTTGTTAACTTATTAACTTACGTATTCTTTATAATTTGGCGGTCGTGTTTGTTCAGGACAAACTATGGGCTGCTGACCAGTGTTGTGGCACATGTAAAACGATCCTTAGGTTGTGGTTATGGTTGGGAAAACTCAAATCATTGTCATTCGCTCTACCAATGCGGTGGAGAATACCAACAAACAATTTTAATACCTCAATATTATTGCACAAATATGCATATTCCTTTTTAAGCTTGTTCTTATCTCATACTAGTGGACCTGCCAATGCTTCGTTATTGTAATGCATTACACTTCACATAATACTGGTCACGTGATTGTTAATCACATTTTACGCTACGCTCTGCAAAAATTTTAACAGACGAAAGATATCTCGCGAGTGTGGTTCTATCTCTCTCTCTCTCTCTCTCCGTGACTTTCCGTCTCTCTCTCTGTCTCTCTTCCTTTGACTTTGTTTCTGTTTGTTTCTTTCTCTGCGTCTCTGACTACCTCTCTCTCTCTCTCTCTCTCTCTCTCTCTCTCTCTCTCTCTCTCTCTCTCTCTCTCTCCGGGGAGAAATTTCACAATCGCAGGGGCAAAATATGCAATGAAGACGTCTTAATAATCGTACTTCAGAGTGCGGCGCGTTGCGTAAATGGCGCCGTGACGTAAAAGGGCCCTTACATAAAATCACCTTCAACATGTGAATATATGCGCAGGCATATGCACATTCCCATCATACTATGCCTATATTCTTCCCACAAGTGCAAGCAATATGTTGACAAAGTTTTATGGCAATCAGATGAACGGTACGGCAGCGCATTAAGCACGCACCAAAAACAAACAAACGTTTTTTATGTATTAGATGCAGCGTGCTCATAAAATTTTGTAGCAATAAAAACGGAGTGACAATGTGCAAACTAGTATAGGATTTTGTTTATTTCAAATACTAAATATGTTTATACCTGTTGAACCCTACATGATAGAAACTTTTTATAATAATTTTCTAACTCAGCGTGAGTGTCTCCTTTGAAGTCACCCACTTTCATCCTAGAGGTATGAAAAAAATTATTCCCTGCTGTTATTAGTATTTTCGGGCCAACAGCTAAGGTTATTATTCCCGTAAGTATAGTGCATGATTTTTAACGCGGGAGGTTGCGGTGATCTTTCCCTATAGACGGTGACATCCTACGCTGACCTACATGTCGGCTGCTGGGATTCCCCTACCACTTTTCTTCCACCAGCGCGGACCGTTTCAGCCTGGACATGCTCTTACACTAAGCTCCCGACTGTTCCTCAGATACGTGTGGTAATATAGTGCACGTATATGTAAGCGTGTGCAAGTAAAGGATGAGGATAGGTTAAAGAAGAGGAAGGAAAGATAGTGCGCTGTCCGTGATCTGTTTGTTAGGGTACTGATCCTTCATTCGCTTGGTGTTGAACGGAGAAAGCACAGGAAACTACCGATTTCAACAGCCGACCGCTGGAATTCGCCTGCAGACAGCGGCTGTATTCAATTAGCTCTCTAACTAATGTCGAAAATCCTGCCTCGGTCGGGTCTTAAACCCCAGAGCCGCCCGGTCTACCTCTCACCCGAGGTGATTCCAGTACCCTAGCATTTCCTAGGACTTTTCTCATATTCCGTAGATGGAGAGGTAATTAACGCATGCGCCGTGGGCATTCGATTTCCCCGCATCTTTTTCCACCAATTGAAGACTGACCCTTTCAGATGACATTGGAAGATCAGGCTTAGTTTTTATTATTATTTTTTGTTTGTTTTCATGTAAATCTTAATTATAAACTTAAAACCCGTCTCTGTCAAATTAAATTTTGTTGCGCACGAATTTGATGTTAGAGCTTATTGAACCGGCTTTAAAAACTCGATTATTAAAAACATCGATGGGTCATTAATACAAATGATTTTCGTGATATTTTGATATTGTTGTCATAAACGCGCGGCAGATATGGTCAGTTGATACGACGCTCTATCCCCTTCATTTATTCATTCCGAGTTGCTGGCAACGAGTGTAGATTACGTCGATTGTAAAGCTGCTAGTTTCCTGCAAACGAGAAGGAGAGTTGCATTTGTCGTGCTTTACACGACAAGGGATATGAAATGCGCCAGGAAATTCTCCCCGCACTAGGCCGAGTTAGGGCCTCCTATTAAAAATGGCATTTATGTTGGTAGCAAACCAATCGCTGGGAAACAAGTGAAGAAGACATTGTGCGTGTTGGATGGAGCGCCTACCCCTGCCTTGCATTCTACCAGGGGGGATCCACCCCGGGGTGTTTAACCTCTACGCGCACCTCCGTACACGTACGCCCTTGAACCTGTATCTGGTTCCCACCGTTACGCAGTTTTCCCTTTCGGTAACATTCCCATACAATACCTGGGTCGGGTCCCCCTGCCAGCTCAGAGCTCCTAGATTTCCAGGCTGGGCAAATCAATGCGCCACTCACATGACGAGTCCATCTATGCCCAGAGTTTCGAACCACTGACACGACGATGTCATGAGCCCCACAGGGGACCACTCGAACTACGGTTCGGGTGGCTTGGCGCCCCATTTCCGTCTCCGCACTGCTTACACTGCACACACATTGCTAACGACGTGAGTATCACCAGTGAACCTAGGCTATCTGGCGTGTGGTGTCAGTTTCCCGCCGGACTTATTTATGTGGATTCCAAAGCATTCCTAAGAATCTACTTCGCCTGATCCTGCCCAAATGTCGACGCTCCAAAGGCTCGACTGGTGGATTACCGTGCGAATACGGCAACCAGGAGCGTAGCATCGCCTACGCACTGGCTCCACCCTGAAGCTGTCGACGTGAGTGGCGCCGTGAATCTCTTCGGTGATACTCTACATCTGTTCGCT